TATTTTTCTTTTTTTTTTTTTTTTTTTTTTTTTTTTTTTTTTTTTTTTTTTTTTTTTTTTTTTTTTTTTTTTTTTTTTTTTTTTGTGAGAATCCGCTTGGGTGGTTACAGTTGGTATCAAAGTCAGACATCGGGTGATGTGCCAGTGAGGAGGTTATTCCTCGAAAAGGGATAGACATAAGATAGTGTGTCAGTAAGGACGTTGGTCCCAGAAGGGGGTAGAGTGTGAGATCTCACAATTCCATATTGGTTGGGGAGGAAAACGAAACAGCTCAAATAGAACAATATCGACTAGCAGTGGGCATGAGTTGTTACATTTTTACTTTCTATAAAAATTATTATTTTACGAACAAAATATTTTCACGACCATTGCAAAAACTAATATAATTAATTTATAATTTTTTTTAAAGAAAGGGTTAGAAAGACCTAATAATGTTGGGTAATGGTGCAGCTGTGCAGGTGCGACCAATTGTAAGATAGGATTTTTTTTTTTTTTTTTTTCATATAATTAAATTAAAGGGACTCTATGCATTTAAATATAAATAATTAACGTAAGAAATAGGATTAAGTTAATTATTGTATATTATATAGTTTTCATAAGATATGATTTGGGTTTGAGATCTTTTGGGAATATTTATTAATAATTTTTATACAAAGATTGGATCAACTTGTTACATTTTTTAATACATAAAATTATTTTTTTAGAATAAGGTTTTGAGATTTGAATATATAATGGAATAATCATTCACAACCCTAAAGTGAGGTGACAAAATATAAAATATTTATCTATCTTCCATTTTCCAAAGCTTGAAGTATCTCTCTTCAGATCTTTGTTTAATTAGATGCATTTAATTTGGCATAAACTTCAAAATCCTTAACGAATTTTGAAAGGAATCTTTGGATCGGTTAAACTTCTAAACGCTCGAATTTGAGGTATGTTATTGAAAATTATTGAATGTAGTACGTGGCTATCAAGAATTACGAGAATAAAAACCGAACACCAACCTTTAGAATGATATAATTCAATATAAATATGTTGAATGACTCGTCGTTTCAGACGTGAATAAAGGAGTTGGTACTAAAAATATGAAGGGTAAAGTCTCGATAACTTGTAAGCTTAATCAACTTCTCAAAATAACTTCATATGTTAGAACGATTCAGAACTCCTTGTTGATTAAAAAAATGGAAATGTAGTTGATCTTCTTGCATCTGAAAGAGATACTGTCTTGATTTCTCTATCTCAATAAAAGGTATGATTGGTGTTGGCTGATGACCTAATCCAAAAACAGGGTGCAGAAATCGGATCAGAGAGACGACTTGAGATTCCTACAAGGACAGGTAGCTAGAAAATCAAGGTGTCAAAGATCGTCACTTTGATCATTCGTGACTTTGAATTCCAACGAGAAAAAGAAAGAAAAAAGATTCGACTCCTTAGAGATCATTAATCTCATTACGGTTACCTGAAGTTTTACGATAATCTACTTTACTATTTTCACAATTGTTATTAACTCGTACATATACATAGATATTCACGGTGTTATCTCATTATGGTTCTTACTCATAACTCATTATACAATATGAACATTGTGAATCGAGATAGATTCTCTATTAAACATTAGTTGAAACTTCCTAATAGGTTCCATAATGTCGTCGTGCCTACCAACTATTATATACTTGTGTGGAACTATGCCCTTATTCGAATAAGTTCACCATAAAGCTTACGCATATTAGGGGCATGATTTTGCCATACCAACTCATAATCATAAAAGATACGAATGCAGAGTCTTGTCAATCAAGACATGTTCAATTTGAAGGTTAATCGGCGCTCGTTAATAGTTCACATTATCGTATAATCAGAGTAAAATAATCACATTATCTCATATCATCGTAAATCATATATTATAGACAGACCGTAGTAAATTGCATAGCTAAATCACCTATCTTGCTAATCATGTGTATTCCATAAACTACAAAATTGGGCATATATGTATAACTAATCTTAATTAATCTTCGAAGTTCAATACGAACTCATATTCAATTCAATCCTGCAAGAAAAATCTTAGCTTGCTAGTCCCTTTCTTCTACGTATTTCTATTTTGAAACTACACTAAAGAGGAATTCCATCATGATGCTCTTGGTTCCTTTGCCAAACTTTTTGAGTGCTTCAACCTGAATCAATTGGAACAAGACTCAATTAAAACCATTAGCTAATCAAATTGAATTTAACTCGATAATATTTTGGGTTTAAAACCCTATAAGTTTACCAAATTTAGGAGAACGTTCATTGCGATCCATCATACTTCTTCGTTTGAAACACGTCCTCAAAATTAATTCAACAACTATGTTAAAACAATCAAAACTCTATCCTTAATCCAAAAATTATAGGAAACTGCACAAGTGTTGCTAGTTTGCCCTCTATTAAGTTGAATGACATTGTAACCTAGATGGGTCACAACCTTATTCTCTTTGATCCATGGTAACAAACCAGTAAATCAGTAGATTATCTTAGTGTGTATAGATATGACCTATTCTATGTTTAACAACCCCATCAATCTGAACGATGTACTACTAAGTTCAAATTGCGCCTAAAACTGTTAAAAGAAGGAGCTAGCAGTGGCTTTGTCATGATATCTGCGAGTTGATCCTTGGAAGGTATGAGTCACACATCAAGCTAACGAGTCGATACTCGTTCACGAACGAAGTGATAATCAACCTCAACATGCTTCGTCTGTCAATGAAAGATTGGATTGGCAAACATATAGGTGGCATCAATGTTGTCACATCACAGGCTAGGCGCTCACACTTGCAAGATCCTGAGTTCACTTCAAAGGACTTGGATCCAGATTAATTTAGCAATGACATCAGCAATCGCCTTGTATTCGGCCTCTGCACTAGAACGAGAAACCGTCGATTGTTTTCTTGAACTTCAGGAGATAAGATTGTCACCAAAGAAGATCGCATCCTCCAGTGCTTCAACGGTCATCAGCATTCCCGGCCCAATCAGCATCCAAGAAGGCACTCAACAAATCAGTGTTGGACTTTGTAAGACATAAGCCAATATCAATAGTGTCATGTAGTAATGGAGATTTCGTTTGACCGCCGCCCAATGTATAGAAGTTGAGGAGGACATGAACTAACACACTCTGTTGACACAAAAGGATATATCAGGACGTGTCAGAGACAAATATTGGAGAGCACCAACGACGCTCCGATAACGAGTAGTATCTTCAAGTGAGAGCTTTCCACTACTATCGAATAACAATTTCTCACTAGGAAGCATAGGTGTCGGCACACCATTGGAGGTGAGCATATTGGTTCTAGACAATAAATCTTGAATGTATTTATGTTGTGTCAAAACCAGTCCATTGGAAGTATGGCGGACCTCAATCCCAAGAAAATAACTTAAAGTGCCAAGATCCTTGACGACAAAATCATCCCAAAGCTATGTAAGAAGTTTCTCAATAGCCGTAGAAGATGAGCTAATGATAATAATGTCATCAACATAGATGAGGATGTACTTCCGAATGCCCGTCTTGTTAAAAATGAAAAGAGAGACATCAACTTTTGAAGGTGCAAAATCCAACTGTAATAGTTTTGAGCTAAGGCGAGAAAACCAGGCACGTGGAGCTTGTTTGAGGCCATAAAGCGGCTTATCTAGCCTGCAGAGATAACCAGGAAGTTGAGAGTCCACAAATCTAAGGGGCTGCTTCATATAAACATCTTCATTAAGAAAACCATAAAGAAAAACATTTTGAATATCAATCTTCCGAATAACCCAACCACGAGAAATAACAAGAGATAATAAGAACCAAATGATAGTGGGCTTAACAATTGGACTAAAGGTGTCATCATAATCAACGCCATACTGCTGTTTAA